ATATATAAGAAGCGTGTGTGTCTGTGTGTGTCCGTGCGTGTCCGTGCCTCAGCTGCAGGTGGACTTGCATCCTTCTGGGGAATTTCTGTGCGTTGCATCACCAAATTGAATTATCCCCAACCCTAACGTGTCCATGCACTCCAATCACAGAAATGATGATAGTGAGAATGCGCAGTCAAGGGCGCTGTTGCATAACTGGGCATTCTTTTCATGCAGCCACAACACAAGCTGTGCAATCGGGAAAAAGAACAACCAGCTATTTGGTGAAGCTCAGAGCAGATCGCTAAGTCCTCAGCAGCTTTTGTGTTTGCCACACACAGAGCTGCGTTCAGCTGTTTCAATTTTTCCTGTGTTGTGGCCTGGATTTTTTTATTCTTGCATCAAAAGACATTTGTGGCTTTTTTATTATCAGCCATAAATATGGTGTTCCACAGGGTTCAGTCCTTGGCCCCCCCTTTCTACTTACTTCCTCTTGGCCATATCTTCCGTAAATTAATAATTACTTTCTATTGCTATGCAGATGACACCCAACACCTCATCTATCATTCACTATTTAAAACTCTTAGTTTCTCCCTCCCCTCAGGTTAAGAGTCTGGGTGTCATCCTTGACAGCACTCTATCTTTCCAAGCCCACATCAATAATGTTACCCGGTCCGCATACTTTCACCTACGCAACATTAATCATCTCCGCCCATCCCTCACGCCCAACACCACTGCCATTCTCATCCACACCCTTGTTACACCGTATTGATTACTGTAATTCCCTTCTTTTTGGTCTCCGTAATAAATGCCTTCATAAACTTCTATTAGTCCAGAACTCTGCCGTTCGCATTATTTCCAGAACCCCCTCCGTTAATCACATCACTCCTGTCCCTCAGCAGCTTCACTGGCTCCTGGTCAAACACCACATTGTTTTTAAGATTCTGCTCCTCACCTAAGGCCATCCACAAACTCACTCTGAACTCCTGCATGTTGACACACCCTCAGTTCTTCTTCTTCCATTCACCTCACTTTACCACCTGACCGTTTGATCACCATGGGATCTAGAGCCTTCAGCCGCTCTGCCCCCCCACCTCTGGAACTCCCTCCCACCAAACATTCGCAACACTGACTCTCTGTCCATTTTTACATCATGTAAAAATCTGCTGTGTAAGGTGACCTTGAGTGCTCTGAAAATAAATAAAATGTATTATTATGTATTATTATAAACAATGCAGTAGCCCCATAGCAAGCTCTCACCATTTTATTGCATTATTTTTGTATATCAGGTGAATAGCGGCTGGTGGGGAGCTGCAGGATTGCATCATCAACATCTTCCCCTCTTCTTTCCCTCTCATCTTCATTCCCGCTCCCTCGCTCTCTTTATTTTTACCTCTCTGTTTGCCTTTTCTCCATTCCCTTGTGAAATCGTTCTCATTTGAATTAATAGATTCTGAATGCAACGAGACTCAGCTTACACATGTACACGTACACACAGTTGACACTGCGAGACACTCCACACACTGAGCGCTGATTTCTTCACAGCGTGTATACATACTGTTTTCAGAGTCTGCAACACTGATTGAGTAATGAGCTTGAAAACACTAAGCAGTCACATGAGGATGTATTAAGACGCAAACAAGTCCCAAGTGTGTCCATTAGGACTGTGAGGCTGGACACACTCCTCATGCAAAGACTCACATACACCAGGAAACACAGACTCAATGAGAAGCAGGAGGTTACACACTGTAAATACCCTAATAACTCAATGTAACTTAGTTCATCTCAATAAGATGCAGATTGTGTCTCTAATCTTATTGGTCGTAAAATGAAATGCATTTCTACAGTGTATGACATCATTTTCTGAATTCATGGTGTCGTAAATGATTAATCAGTCTGTAATCTTCGGGTCGTCTCTTTAGTCCCACAGGATGCACAGATACCTCAAAAAAAAAAGCTTTGAACTAAGCAATCTTTATTTTTTTCCAGCTTCTTTGCAACCTCTTAATTTTATGAACAATATAAACTTTGGATTAAATCTTATCTGTGGAGATAAATGACCATATTCTTGTTGTCCTTGACCTTTAACAGATCATCAGGAGATACCCTCGCAAATAATATCTAACTATACTCCCACATGCACACACAGACACACACAGGGGCGAAAGCAATACCCTTAGCCAACACGCATGCAGGGTTAATATCTGTCAGGCCAATTAAACCATACAAAATTCCATTAAGGGATTGGAGGGGAGGAGGAGACAAAGGAAGAAACTTAATTGAATTGTCTTACAGGATGCAGGAGACTTGCTGCGTCGTGTTTGGACGACTGTTCTGGGGGAGCCTCTGGTCAGAGAGCCAGACATCTTCCCATAGTTCACCGACTTCATCATACGACACTCTGCAAAAGAACACGGACGAAACACGGATTTGTTCAGAATGTATTTGAAAACCAGAGATTCCCTCACATTTGTTTATTCATCCACTCAAATATTCTACAAAACTTGGAGTAAGAAAGCTGCTGCACTCCTGCTGCTGGTAAACACAAACACAGGCACTGAAGGAACGATCATTAGAGTGTAACACTGTGACATGACATTTTTGATATCGTGTTTAGTGACACACAACTTTAATCTACAATAACAATTTAGCATCTTGAAACACACAAAACACAGATCGGTTGCACTGAAATTCAAATTAATATCATTATATAGTTTACAAACCAAGTACTGTTTTAATATTTTGATTTATTCGGACCTTTAGTCAAGAAAACACCAAACCACTCATGCATCAACACAGCTGTTTTAGTTTTTTTACCTGTAGGTCGCCTGCAAAAATTAGCTCTGACCTTCCCTGGGCTTTTTTATTGTGGTGTTGCAAGAACAACAGCAATGGCTGACAATTTGATGGCGCATGCACGCACGCACACATGCACACACACACACACCCTGCCTCCTTTATCCCCAAAACTTTTTTTCCTCTCCTGCTCATTAACCAAACCCCATTATAGCTCATTGTTATTTTACACCAGCGGGAAGGAGAAATTATACACAGTCTGGCATTTGTCTTCAGCTGCATATATGAGTGCAGGGGGGGCATGTCTCTGTGTGTGTGTGTGTGTGTGTGTGTGTGTGTGTGTGTGTGTGTGTGTGTGTGTGTGTGTGTTATGAGCTTGTGTGGCAGTCATTGTGGCCCAGTGAGTAATGTACAATGCAGAGTGTTAACATGATGACAGTGTGCCAGAGCTGAGGCAGAGGCGATAATTATAGTGATGCTGAGAGGAGGCAGAGTTGTCTGCAGCTCTGACTGCGACTGTCTCTCTGCTTCGTTTGCCGCTCTGCTTTTCTGTCAGTGTGTTGCTGCCTCCTGTGCCTCCTGTTCCCTGTGCTCCAGGACATGAGGCATGAGGAGGTGTCAAAATGAGCTCTATGTCCCAGAGGACGTAGAAAAAATATAATGTCTGTGTGTGTGTGGTTCAGGTATTACTCATGTTGATGCTGTTTACACAGTCACATTATGGGGACTTGTGTTCCGTATGGGGACAGAAAGCAAGTCCACTTTATGTAAGTCATTAAATTTAAGGTGAAGACATTTTTTAAGGTTTAGGTTAATGTAAATATTATAAGTTATTTTCAGACAAGGTCATTTAATCTTAATATAAGTTTTGTGTGTCCGTCACATTAATGTTTCCAGCACTGACAGTGGGACAACGCCAGTAAATGTCAAAAAAGAGGGTGAGTCCCAAAAAGACAAAGGCCAGGTTTAACAAACAGATTTGTCAAAGCACCTGAAAACTGTGAGCAAAAGCTTGGTCCTTCAGCTTCAATGGCCTTATGAGAACAAAGTAGCTCTGTGCCTGCACCCCCTCTTTTCCTTTAGACAACAAACCACTTACGAAGACAATCATCAGTAACTAATGAAAGTGCAGATACCCTGGAAACATGGTCTTTGAATGTCTTGTTGCGTGTAGGAGGCTGTTTTATGGACTTTATCAAGAGAGGGGAGGGTTACCAAAGGGAATCTGGCTAATGGAAGCAACTAGCCATTATATTTTGCAAATGTAAGGAGAGTAAAGGGGCAGAGAGTAAGGGAGGGGGGAGAAAGGGAGACAAAAAGAGGGAAGAGGTGGGCACCAGCGATGCCCGTGGGATGGATATTATTATTAAATTGCTGAAAGGACACAGAGGGGAACAAATGAATTGAAAAAAACAACCTTTGAACAAAAGCCTTGGCACACTCATTCAAGTGGGAGACAGGAGGAGAGAGACAGGAGGATGAGAATGCAGATGAGGGCTAAATGGCAGGAGTCTTCTGTGACAGCAGTGCAGGAGAAATGGGGGAGACAGAAACGCAGGTGGGTGAAGTGAGGACAAGCCACATCCAGACAACAGTGGAAAGACAAAGAGAAAGGAGGAGGAACAATGATACAATAGGTGAGGAAGGCTTTGGAATAAAGACACAGGAGATGAGAGGAGCGGTGAGAGGTGATGGAGCGTAATGAACTGGACAGTCCTCACAGTGCTCTGCCACCTGAACCAGGGAGACGAAGCACATGCAGGGCAGACAGGGTGATGGGTGGAGACGGGACATGATGATCTTTTTTCGTCAACAAGGAGAGAATATGTGGCCAATATGGAGGCCATATTAATGCTGTGTGTGTGTGTGTGTGTGTGTGTGTGTGTGTGTGTGTGTGTGTGGTGAGTTGTGTAACAGTATCTCATTTTGTGTGTGTGCATAATGAGGTTTGTATATGTGTAAAAGAATCTGCAGATGTGTATGTATTGTGATAGATCTGTGAATGCGTAGATAAATCCTATATCTCTTTTACACCAAAATTAGCAAGAGTACCTGGGTTTTTATTAAAATGCAGGTAAAAACAAGCTGATGACTCCTCAGTATCAGTAGAGAAGTTTGACTTTTGTTTTGTGTTTGTATAACGTTTAATGTCATTGAACACTGAAGTGCTCTCTCCCTTCGCTGTCTTGTCAAATTAGCGTATTCACCCAGGTGTCATGTTTCCAGTGGAATCATCAGTGTCTGAAGTGTTTTGCTCATCAGATGCTTCAGGCCATGCAATCTCTTATTTTACATGTGATATTTGCAGCATTTCTTCTGTAGCACATCGGCAAATGCGTTTAGGGGTCTGCACAATAGCCACAATGTTTTTTATGGCAAGCAAGGTGGCCATTAATGTTATTTTTCTCATGCATTTTACTGCATGATACAGTTACACAACTCGTCACACATACACAAACTTATATTGGCCCTGTAGAGAACCCAAGAGAGGCGAACCAATGTGAAATGTGAGTGGCCTCACCGCCTTCGTCCAGCATCAGGTCATCCTGGTAGCGGAACTTCTCCGGTCCACACGCAACAAAAATGTCTTCATCCCCGAAGAAGTCCTGCAAACATGACACCTGGAAACAAAGACACGCAAATGACTTCAGTTATTACTTACACAGACACACACATTCACCTCTGGTAGCTGCAGAAAGCAATGTCAGCATTCCACTGTTGGGGACTGAACGCTTTGTTCACAGACACTTTTGTCTGCAGAGATTTAAAGTTCCTCTCCAGGGAAAATCAAGTTTATAAATATGTTACTGTGCCCCCCCTCCCCCTTAAGCATTTTATATGATAAAAGCCAGGGGGGGGGGCATATTTGCATATTCATTGAACCCAAACATGACATGAAGAAGGAAGGTGGAGAGTCATATTTAATTCCAGGGGACTGATGCTGTGAATGCATAAAGGACATTAACTATATTCTGTGTTGCGTTCTGCACATTGTCACAAAAATCATCTTTCCTTTCCTGTACTCAGGTGAAGTCACACTGCACTCTGAGCCCAAGGAGACAGACAAGAAAAATACTGATTGTCTATGTGTTTTTGTTTCCTCGTTTGTGTCTGTGAATAACCAAACAAGTCCCCGAGCTGCAGGTCTGTGTCTTTTCTGCGCTTTATCAGTCCATCAGCGACCATATCGAGACCTCGCTGACTCACTAATTTGCTAATGCGCTGCGGTACATTCACCGGATGTCAAGAGAGGTGGGTCTGTTCCCTGAAACACCAGCGTCTCATGAATGGTAATGAATTGTAAAGAGAAAGAAACCTAAGAGCAGAGAGGGAGACATGAACAACACAGAGAGCGAGAGTGTGTGAGGCAGAGAGAGGTTAACTCTATAAGCTATCTGACTCACAGAGACAAAGCCGTCCCTCTGACTCACTGTCGTTCTTTGACTGACTCCATGCTGTGACGCTAATGCCAAACGTACAGGGACACGCTGACAGGGATTATGTTAAAAACATTAAAACACTGAGTCACTAAACACAACACGACAGGAGCTGGATCAATAAAGAAGAAGGGTCCTCTGGAAAGAGGGTCTTCAGAATCTTGCATATTTTGCCTGGAGGTGCCTGATTAATTCACTATTCCAAACCTAAGCTCCTAATCTGTTCATTTTGTCAGCTCAAGACAGATGTTATTAATTTTTTTATCCACAGAAAAGTCTCTGCACTAAGGTGTTTATGATGACAAATTGGCAAAGCTGCTGTTCATTATTTTCTGTTTGATTTAGTTAGCTGCTGATTCCATATCTGATCCTAACTCAGCACGATTTACACAAATAACTTTAATTACACCCCACAGGCCAAGCATCACATTTCAATCCGAAGACATCAATATCCCAAATTATATTTCCCGATGGGCAGAATAGGATTAATGGGCAGACAATAGTTTATTCATCCTCCATGAAGAATCCCTCCCCCAAAAAACCTATTAAGAGCTATTACAGTTTCAGTGGCACGCCTGGAGTTAACACACAAACAAAAAGCTACCGCTGCTGTGTTTTCATGGCAATTACCGCCAAAGAATCCATTTAGATTTTTATTAGGCAGCGATCAACACCCCAAAAGAAAAGTCACAGCTGATATAACAGCATTATCAACAAAATACCCAGTAAAGAGCAAAGAGGCCATTCTCTCTCTCTCTCTCTCTCTCTCTCTCTCTCTCTCTCTCTCTCTNTCTCTCTCTCTCTCTCTCTCTCTCTCTCTCTCTCTCTCTCTCTCTCTCTCTCTCTCTCTCTCTCCCTTTCCTGCTTTCCCCGACACAAGTTTAATCTCAGACTCAGACTCTCTGTGGAATATGGGCAGGTTTCATTTAACTTTTCAAATCAAGGCCGGGCGTCTGTGTGTGATTCTTCGTTCGTTTGGCCACACATCGCATGAGGACGCGTTTCTGCACACAAGGAGATTCAAGTTTCATAAAAGAGTGCATATTACCTTTTTCTCTGATGTCCCCTGATACCGCGTTACTGATTATTTCACAGACACGAGTGTCTCGAGTTCCTAACAAGATGGCTGTGATACAGATGCCGGTGCTATCAACACTTCCCCAGTGTGTCTGAGCCACTTCTATCTCTAATCACACTGTTTATTTATATCACTGTATTTTCACATTATTTTCATCTTTACCATCAATTTCATACTGCTGGCTGTTTCATAAACTACTTATAGACTCTGTTGCACACTGTGTCCACTGTGCACAATCTTTTGACTTGGAAAATATCATTAATAATGCTGTTTACTGTTCTTGGCCAAAAACTGCATATTAATCAGTAATTAAAATAATCAATAGTGCTCTGGTGCAAAGTAACCAGCTATTGACTTGTAATGGTTATTCCATTAATCAATTGACAATGATATAATTATTATGATTTTTTGTTGCCTGAGAAATCAAGGAAAATGTTTGAAAACATAATACTAAAGAAAGGAAAAAACTATTCCTGGCTCCTCCTCCTGATCAGGATCCACACTAGAATGGAATGGCTCCTTTCTTGGCTCATGCCCCACCCCTCCACAAAATTTCATGTGAGTCAGTTTAGAGGTTTGTGCGTAATCCTGGTCACAGACAAAAACATAACCTCCTTGGCAGAGGTATTAATCAACTGAAACTGGACTGCTGCTGCTGCTGGACTCAACCAAGAGGAGGCTGCTGTACAGAGGCTCTTTGAAGCTGCTCATCCTGATCTAGAAACTGTAGCACCAGAATACAGGGAGGAGAGTATAATCAGGAGGAGGTGGTGAGGACAACAGAGGAGGTGAGTCTAGGAAGGAGTCTTCATGTAGGACAGCCTCTGAAAGCACCACTGAGCTGAGGGTAAACTAATATGGAGCAACACACAAACACAACATACTGGGCTGTGTTACTGAGGAAGGGTGTGAAAAAGTATGGTTGCCATGGTGACAATGCCCTCTAGGCACTGGTGCATGGCTGGTGCGTGCCACCGATTCCACGGTGTGCAAACTGTGATAGAGCTCCATCATTCATAATTTATCTACTATGGGCACAATACTCCACAGAACTGTGTCATTCAGGCAAGTACACACCAAGGCATGCATACAAACGGCCTGGCTCTCATTGAAATACAACATCCCTTTGTTTCAAACAAGATGAGATCCTGAAATGCTCAAACAGACTGATGAATGATGAAGAGGAGAGGGAGCTGGTAAAGATGAAAAGAGACGAGGAACAACAACAACAAAACAGTCTGAGATGAAACCAAATCTCCAAATCCTCCGAGTCGCAGAGGACGCAAGCAGACAGAGAGAGAAAAGAGTAATCGATGAGGATGAGATCTATTCCTGACTGCTGCAGCTGCTCTGAGCCCAATGACAGAACAAGCTGCTTTGATGTCTCTGGTGCTGCATTCACACAGAGAACAAGCGTCGTTACACAACATCCAGCGCTGCTAAAACAAGGGCGGGAGGAAACAAACAAAGAGGCAGCGAAAAAGAGCAACTATAATAAGATGATGAGGGGGATAAGAAGCAGAGGACTTGGTATATTCATAACCCTTCTTACTCTAAGGGCAAGTCACAAGCATAACGTTAAATTTGATCTTTAAGTTTAATTTAAAATCAACTGCAGGAGTCAGGCAGAGGGTTGACAGGTTTGAACAGGTTTGCGTATCAGATCTCACATGTCTGAGAAATCCTTCATCTTATCATCCTGCCACCACGACTGGTATCTGGAATATGATTGACATTTAACTTTATCACACACTTGACAACAGTAATTACATAGAAAAGCTCAGACAAAAAAAAACATTGCTCCACGACTGGAGAGGTGTGACCGCCAAATATGTGACCATCATCCCCTCCTGAAAGGGTCTTATGCAATAAATCATAGACTATCTCTCAGTAAAACCATTTATACTCTCACTACGCCACCTAGTGTAGAAGCAAAGACCAGACACCTTCTAATCTACAGTGTCCATTTCTGTCTCTCCCTGGTTTGTTCTTCTGTCTTTATTTCATTAAGATTAAATCACATTTTCGGTCGGATACACGGAGCTGCACGTCTCTTCATTTGCACATCATTACTGCAAAGGATCAGAAAACTGAGACAGAGTAAATGGTGACACCACATGGTGGCACTGTTGAATAACCACTCGCTGAGGAACCCAAAAGCCGACTTTGAGTCTGTTTGGTGTTTGTCAGGAGGGATGACTGTCCAGATTTTTAGTTTGTGTTCTCGAGGACACGCAGGAGACCAACAAAAAAAAGGCTGACAAAGACACAACAGATATAAAGTAGACACTATCTCACCCTTTATGAAAACACAAACACTCTCATATGTCCATACACGCTCTCACTGGTTATTTATCCAGTCTCACATGCAGAAATCTCTAGACAGCTAGAGTGATGGTGCAAAATTTTCATTTAACCACCGTGTCTGGTCATTTCCAGAAGTTCCCGTGAGTCCGCCTGCGAACAAACGACACTGTTTAGCTCTGTCTCCATGTTACACTTTATTTTTGGACTCTTCTATCAGGACCCTGATTCACACAGCACTGTGCATGTGAGCAAGTCTTTGTTTTCACCTGTACAAAATAACCAACAGATTTGAAATATAAATAATTTGTGGTTATAATTAGTGCTATAATAATTGTTTTTTTAAATTTCACAGTCATTTATTAAGAAAAATGTAAAATATGTTTCAGTTCCAGTTTTCCAAATGTGAGGATTTGGGGTTTTGTACTGTTGATTATATAAAACACAAATGTTTGCAGCCATGGTTACACTGCATCAGTTAATTAAGTTTTTTTTATGTTTGGTCGCTCTGATAAGAAACAGAGACAAACTGATGCCTGCAAATCCAGAAAGGAGGAGAAAAGGGAGAAGCACTAATCTGCTGCACCACAATAGACTCACAGCGGTTACACAGAGGACGCGGTGAGGTCAACATAATCCTTCCCGCAGAAAGACACGTTTTGGACGAACGAGCTGTCGCTGCTGGGGGAGCTTAGCTCGGTGGAGCTGTCCCTGGTGCTGAACCAACTGCAGCTGGCTGAGCTGCTTTGAAACACTCACCACAGACAGACGGACGGACAGACGGGTGTGATAGATAAGACAG